AGGTCATGTTGATTTCGACAATTGGTACAATAAAACGTATAAATGAGTAATTGATAAAAACATGCCAGTTGCGATCAGTGTTTTGAGATATCTGTCTCAAAATATAAAGCATGATCCTTAGTCATCAGTACTGGCATTGATAAATGTGCATTCGGTGCAGAAGCATATACATTTCAGTTATGCACGAACATAAAGAGTTATCGCTAAGGTAATTAACTTTTGCTGAGGCTTTTCTTATAGAATGTGAAGAAAAACGTCAATATGCGTTGCATATAGGGAAAGCTGACAAACACTAGCTAAAGACACAACTAGACATAACAATGGTCATACATTTTTCATAAGGCATCTTTCTTTGCCTGCTTCATTTGTTCTTTACTGCTCACTTCGGGTATTCTGACTGCTATAAGCTGCGTACTTTTAATTCCCTTCAAACCACCAACATTTAGTTGTAAAGTAATTAAGGGGGTAGCATAGCAATAACATATGGAAGGCGAATATCGCACTATATACGATTTTGAGTGAATAATCTGTTTTGCATATCTTTGGAAATAATCGCCACAACCAGGTTTGACATGTTCTTGAGAAATGAAGATAAAATAGGATAATAGTGCAACCACTGAAGTCTCTTGAGTAAAAAGAAAAAGTGCAGTGCAAACAAACTCGAAATCGTTCCTAAGGTGCGAGAAGATATGAGCCTGAAGCGTCATATATTAAAGTCTGAAGGGCGAGAAGATTGCGCCGAAAGCGTAAAGGATACTGATGTCAAGCCGAAATGAGTGTTCATGACATCTGTGCTGATGCAACAATGCACATACTTCCTCTTCTTCTTATTCTTTAATCGATGAGGTCATTACGGTGTTATTCCCATATTACTATATTCGTGATAAATAGTCTTCTATTGGAGAAAAGGATATATAGTAATTGTTCATATTGTACACTACGAGTATATATGGCCATAATTAACTCAAACCTTCAACTTCTTTAATATTTTGTCTTGGATAGAGCTCAAAATTAGTTTGTACAAGGCATTAGTCAAAAACCCTTCATTTTCTAAATGTTCTTAAAACTCTACCCTATATACAGCTGTTTTCATGATAGAATGTTCAAAATCCGTTTAAAGCTATTAGAATATCATACTCACTAGACGTAGTGGTTAGGTTGTTGAACATCTACGAAAATGTTCTGGAGAGCAAGGCAGTGAGGATAATAAATCGTCTTATTGGATTCAATTTCAGGAACCTTCTGCATGTTTTATACGAGCACATAAGTAGATTTACTACAGCTGAAAGAGGAATGCACAGCAGTAGATGCTATGAATTTTTGGAAAATAGTACTATTTCCTTCTTATAGAAAAAAATACTTGGTCTTGTACAATATTATAATTTTAAATGTGTAATTTGCAGCAGAAGAATTCTATCCGATCTTTACGTTTTATTCTTAAAAAGAATAGGTATAGCACTGGATGCAAATGAAGTCTTATATTAAGCAAATGCATGCGAATCTATGGAAAGCCATCTATGCTATCGGGAATGTAATCTTAGAAAAAGCCCCACTGAGAACGGATACGAAAGACGTAGATAACGATAATAGGACTTCATAGTATTCCGAAGTCCACAGACGGCCTTTATGAGTCTTGGGATACTGAATATAATAGCGTCATTTCAACTTTAATTCTGACACCAATTATGTACAACGCGTGCATGTTATTAGAATAGCATAGCCTTCTAGAAATTTCATGCGTTTTCTTGTAGTGTTCAAGCTCTGAGTTTTTAAGCAAGTGCTAGTCAGTGTATGTCTTTTTGAAAGGGGAGATCCTGTTATATGAACTATAGAGATAAGATTTTTGAACCCTTGCATCTAAATTAAGCAAGAGACGAAAAGGTTAATTCGTTTTTCTTAGGTCTCGCAATAGGTTCACTTTTTTATTTATTAAATGTGGAAAAATACTAGAAATAACTTTTGCTATCTCCCTCTGGCAAGAGATTATACCTCCAAAATTCCTATCAGATACTCTTTTTTTAAAATAAATTCTCAGCTATTTGTATTGATAACTGACCTCCATTAATTGCACAGATGGCACCACTAGCAATTCTTCATTCTACCAGCACACCGAAATTTGGTAGTATTTTGTTTTCCACAAAAGAAAATGGATGGATAAAGTAATTGAGCACAAGTGGCAGCCACGAAACATTCGTTAGAATTGAATTAAATTCAAGACCATCAAAATGGGCGGTGTCACTTAATGAACTGGAGCGAACCCCGGAAAATTAACTTTCTTCAAAAAGGCAGAGAAGCTGTAAACGCTGTCCCCACAGTCTCCGAAGAGAGCAAGCAAGATTGACAGCATGCAATAGTGAATTTTATTTCAAAAGGTTACAAACATTAATGTTGCCTGCAGCTTAGCAAAGTTCC